GAAATTGATAAAGATAGGTATATAGAGTGTAAGAAGTGGAAAGATAGAGGAGGTGTGAGGTATTATCACTTTTATGTTTTTATTTCTGAACTATGTGGCTGACTAAAAATAAAATAAAATGTCATTTTTTACTTTTGAAGCTGTGTATATGGGGATGCAGTACCCAAGGCAGTTAGGAATTGGCTTCTAGTCCTGCCCCTAACTTGTGTGGCCTCTAGTTAAGTCACATCCTTTCTCTGGGCCTTAGCTTCAGCCGCTGTAAAAGAGTGGGGTTAGACTACTTATGTTCTCTTAGCTCTAAAACTCTCAGATCCTAAATCCTGCCTCCTCCAGGAAGCCTCTCCTGATTGCCTCAGCCTTCGGCAATCTCTCTCCTAGGAAAGGTTTACCACCTTGACTACCCCCACTAGAAGACCTGCTTTCCATGGAGTCTGATCAGTCCTGGGCCCAGATCCTTGGCAGGCACATGCAAAGCTGGATGACCAGGAAGGGAAAGACACCAGACGCCTGGTCCAGGAAGGAACTGAGGAAGCTTATCCTGGAGGAGAGGAGTCATGCACGCAAGCACCCAAGAGGGCAAGTTAAAGGGACGCCATCACACTTCCACCCAGAGAAGTACTCCAAGAGCAGTCCAGAGACAGGAGTGGCTGCCTCCAGAAAAAGCAAGGTTCCTGTCCTTGGAGGTATGTGTGTTAAAACTGGACAGCCACAGGCGAGGGGCGTTGCAGAGGGAATGTCAATATTAGAGGGGGTATGGGTGCCTTCCAACCCCGAGAAACTATGGTTCTTGGATATACACTGACCCTGAAATCCACTAGTGTAATCCAGGCTTCTGGGATCAGGTCTGACTCCTGGCCCCACTCTCCATTCCTCTCCAAGAACCACAAATGAGGGAAGAGGAGGGGAGGCCTTCGTGTCAACCTCAGGAAAAGGCTCACCCATCTGGGATGGGGTGCAAGGAAGGTAAAGGTGATCTGCCACATCTCTCAGGGTTCCCTTCTGGAGGACCACCTCCTTCCCCTCCTGTCACCTTCTGGGTCCAAACCCTCCTAAACCCATCAAGAGCTACTTTGGCACGTAGGAGCCCAGAGCCAGCCAGCCAGCCTTCCCTTTACTCCCTGCCACCGAAAGCTCCAGTGCAGCCCCTTGTTGTCCCTCTCAGGCACTCTCCTCCTCTACTGTCTGCACCACAGGGACAACAAGTCTCAGCTGTTTCCTTTCTGACACAAGGGAACCCCAAATCCACTTGACCTGCTAAACCATAGTGCCTCCCCTTCAGACCTCAAACCCATCTCACCAGGTCACTGTCAGTAGGATCGCTGGACGTGCTGGCAGCCTCTGGGCTGGCTGTCCTGGGTAGAGCTGCATCTGAAGAACACAGAGAAGGTCACAAGCAGGTCAGGGACATCGCAGGTGAGAGGCATCCTGGCCTGGGACAGTGACAGATGGAATGTCCCTGTTATTTTTCCTGGAGACCCATTCTCCAGGGCCTCTTCCAGCACTGGGGCAGCTCTATAGCAGGGCTGGTAGGAAGACTGTCTGACTGCAATGGGCATGAACCCAGCCAGAAGGGAGAAAGGGGTGGCACTAGAAAGTGCTTGCCTTAGGCTCCAAACCCCACATGCACCTCTACCTCTGGGCCACCACCAAGGCAGAGTGTGAGCAGTCCTAAAGTTGTGACTGCTCACTGACTTTTCTGAACACAGTGAGAACTCCATGACGCTCTTCTGACCTGAAGCCTGATTTTTATTCAGTTTATTCTAAATTTCTCACGCTTTAGAATAAAACTCTTTTCTCTGCCACTGCCTGGTTACAACAACCAAGGCAAGCTGTTTAGACTCAGTGGGGTCACTTCCTGTATATGGGGAACGTTCACTGCCTAGGGGAAGGCACAAGTCCATGCCCACTCTAGGTTTATACTTTGATGAGCCTATGTCCACCATCAGCTCAAAGGTCAGGAGTGAGGGAGGGAGCCCTCTATCATTGGCACCTGCCCCGGTGTCTTCAGATTCTGTATCCTCTCTCCCCTCTCTCAGTAGGGCATCCTCACACCAGCTGTCCAGAGCTCAGGTCCCAGCCTAGAGATTCTGTCTAAAAGCCATTAAGGCCTCCTCCCCTTGGAGGCCCTGTTGTGTACCTCCCACCCCATGTCTCTTGAAAGCCCATCTGATGTCTCCAGCATAAACAAAGCTACTACAACTCCTGAATTTGGACTGCACAGCCACATGCTGTCTCACTCTCCAGCTATGTGATGTGCCCCCAGCCCGTCGCCCGGATGACTGGACAACTTGAGGTCAGGAACTGGTCTGCTGTGTCCCTACTTCTCAAGTGCATAGTACCAGGCAGGGCCCACAAAGGTTGGCAGCTGGTTCTGATGGCAGGCTATTATGATGGGGGCAAAGGAACTCCTCCACCGAGTCACAGTGTGGTTTTGGGTAAGCACCCAAAAACCCCAGGGAGTTTCCTCAGCCCCCTTCTGCCCGCACTTCATATTCTAGC